ATACATATATATACATATATATATAACACATATATATATATATATATATACATATACATACATATATATATATATATATATATACACATATACATACATATACACACACACACACACGAAAACATGGAGCAAAGGAATAGAAAAAGCCAAAGAGCACACATTACAGACAGTAAACAGGGGTCTATTTTATTTTGAACGAGTCTTTTAATTAATGCATTTCAAGTACTCCAAAAATTACATCTCTTTGCACAATACAATTTGAAATCTTTTTTTTTAGTAAAAATGTTCAAAGTGAACAAAAATTTCCGATACTGTATAAAACACAGTGAACATTAAAATCAGACAGTAGTATTACTTTTTAATCTTGTGTTCTTTCGGCCTACATCACCTACAACATTTCAACTCAATTTGGACATTTTCAGTGCACGTTTATCTAAAAACTTTTACCAAGACTACGAAATTAAAAAGAAAGTAAATTTACAGGCATTATTCTTCTGCTCTTCTACCCAAACCATGCCACAGGATAACGAAGACAAAAATGAGAATGTAACATTTACTCCATCACCCTGAATTGTTTTTACCATTGATGGTGGTAGAGAAAAGTATCTTAAGCAAACTCCATTTCAACTAGCACATATAAGAACATAAATAACTTAGAAGAAAGGAAAGTTTGTCACATATGAACATCTTTGAACAACTTACTCTGGAATTAGAATACAAAAAATGAAACGGATGTATCAAAATGTAATTTTCATTTTCAAATGAAATGCAAATTTTCGAAGTACTGTACAATTTTACATGTAAATTCTCCAGGCTTAACGGGTTGTGAGCCAGCCTAGAAGATGAAATTTAAAAAGAGCTCCATTTTGTACAGACATGAGAAGTTATAGCAACCGCCGACCTGCCGAATTCATCTGCCATGTGAAAGAAACCGTTAACTGTGAGACATGTTATTTTTAATGTCCCCTCCAGAGCACATGTGTGATTTTTACAACAATCAGGACAGTGTTGTAAGATATTAGTTGTGATTAGTATTGCATGCATTTAGAAATAATAATGCCAGGATAAAATAAAGACAGAGCACAAGAGAACATACTTTGCCGAACGTATAATGCAAAATGCCCAAGTCTTAGTCCGTGCCAAACTTTTAGCCCACTTCCCAAATCCTATTGGTGGGTGAAGAGTTTGCACGGTAAATAAATCCTGGGATTTTGAACATATCGCGACCAGATTATCAAATCCTTCCGGTTAGTGTCATCATGTTATCATGTTCCAAAATGCCCCTAATGCTGTGCTGCAGCAAGGGGAGGAAGAAAACACCTGAGGTCAACCGTCTCCTTCATTTCTTCCATTTAAAGTGGCTCCAGAAACTTTACAGGTGCTTCCTGTATTTTGTAAAACCTGTGCATGAATATCAGCTGTATAAAGTTTTATGGCACGCTGATGTAAACTCACACTGCACTCATGAGCTCTTAAGGGGATTCAGTCCATGAAGAAATCTGACCGGGAGATAACTGCAGGTGAGTTTAAAAAAAAAAAACCAACATAAACACAAAAACAGCCACTTGTCTCCTGTGAAACTAGTAAACACATTGATGAATGTGTGAATAGTGTGACATTACACTGCTCCGTCCACTTGTTTTAAGACTAACATTAATAGCTGTCAAAGTAAATAGTGTTGAGTGACATAGAAATATTACAGACCTTGGTCAATTAATAGTCACATTTAATAAATGTGTCCGCATGCCCACATTGAAAAGTTCTTAGATTTGCTATCTGAAGAATAATATAATGATTTAATCTTAGTTTCTCTTTTTTTTTGTACATCCACACCGGAGTCATTTTTAAATTTATTTCCACACTCATGTAAACTAACTCTGTAACATGATACACTCTCACTTCTAAACTAAGCCACAGCAGCCTTCACTTTCCCTTGTCTTCAAATCTGAACAGGTAGACTCATCATCAGCTTCAGTTAGTGGTTATTCATTCTTCATGATCAAACTCAAAATCGGTAAAGACAATAAAAAGGTGTATCAAACTAGGTGATCTTCCCTTTTTTGTTCCCATGAATCTTTACCTCATCTAGCTTGTTACACAACATGAGCAAAACATGATGTTAGCAAAACAATAAAATAAACAAAAAGATGAAAAAGGGATCTTGAACAAAGAAGGCCTGAAAAGTGGGATATGATGACCTTGTTGTTCAAATTCGAAATCTAGCAACCCAACGAGCGTGAAAGAGATCCACCTGACTGGATGACTGCAAAGAGAACTTGATGGCGTCAAATCCTCAACAGCAATGTCCAAGGAACTCATCACAACCATCATTCCTTCAATTATGTGTTAAGAGTCCTGAGAGCACTAACCGAAAAATAAAAGAAAAAAAGTGAAGAATTACACATTTACAGTAGAAGAAATAGTTTGTTTTCACTTATGATACATTAAATATGTACAGTTACATGCAGAAGACTGTCTGCACGAGAGACCGGAGCCTGTGTCTTTTGCCGTTTGACATGTGTAAATCACAAAAGTGCCGCAAATCCCCACTGAGTGTCTCTCAATCCTGGCTAGAATGGCGAAAAGAAAAGCACGGAACAATTCACCAGCAGCCACGGGCGTGTCACTCAAGAAGACGTTGCAATAGAACAAAAAACACATCACAGAATGTACTAAAGCTACACATGATTCCTTAACTCCTTGGCACTCCTTAAAAAGAAAAAAAAAAAGGTGGAAAAAGATGCTAGATCACACTGCATTGGAAATGGCTGATGGTCGAGTCCACTCCACAAAGAGCCAATAAAGTTGGTAGATAGTGTTTTCTCTTTTTCACGTGTCTATTTTGTCTGCAGATGGAGGATATGATGATGACTAACAACCATGTCAGGCTTTTCTTTGGATGGAGTGACGCTTTTGTTTCCCACTGTAGGCACAAGGAGGAGCCAAGGCATTGGGGGGGAGAGGGGCGGGATGCAGGGTCTCAGCGTCTCATCTGGCCCATCTGATAGTTCTCTCTGGGCTGACGGTGGTGCCTCTGGGGTTGCGCCTGCCGCTGGGGCTGCCTCTGGGGCGGTTGCCGCTGGCCACCGTGGCCCCCGGTTTCCAGTGCTGGTGGGTGCGGGTGCTGAGACTGGTGCTGCACCTGGGAGTTTAGCGTGTTGCTGCGCTCTGCGCCTCTTCAAAGTGCTCTGTTGAGAGAAAGGCAGTTAATTTGTAGCCTGCTTAAAAGGACCGGCGCCCGGTGGCGTGAGACGGTGGGTTGACTCGAACATAAACTGCACCTAGAGAACTCTGTCCTACTGGTGCCCACAACAACAACTTATTCACCGCTTGCCCACTACTTATGATGAGGGAGCTATAAAATTGTGGTTTACTAAGTTATTACATCAGAACTATATTATGTATATATATATATCTAGTATATAGTATATAATATAAGATAAGTTGTACAATAATACCTTATGTATGTATTCTGCATTGTGTTTGACGCCAGTTTGTGTGGCCCTGTTTTGTATGGTGTGTGGTGGTTCGTGATATCCTAGATGTCTTGTATTCCCAGGTACTGCTATGGTGTTTGTTGTGTTGTGGGAAGAGGAAAGGTATGTGTTGGGTGATGGATTCTATCATGTTGCTTT